GCAGGTGGGGCTGGGCGCTGACGAGCAGGGCGAGGGCATGGAGTGACGGCGCCGCCTTGGCGCTCCGTTAAAAGGGGGTGAGCTGAGAGACTTCTAACTTTGCAACCCGTGGCTGGCTGCAGTGCTGCCCACGAGATCCCACTGCCCAGCCGGGAGGGGTTGGGTTTGTCTAAAGCAGGGAAAAGCGATTTTATTTTTATGGCCATTAAACTCTTAGCGAGCTTCCCAGATCAACCTGCACAGCCCCTGCAGAGAGAGTTCATGTGCTTACGTGAGAGCGCCAGAGCCTTAGAATAATGCTTTGATTTCAGGGACACACTGCTGCTGTCAGGTCCCCCTTTCATTTGTAAGGAACAAAACATCCAATTTTTTAAATGCCCCATCTTGACTCGGACGTGGCTGTGTTGGCACTGGGCACAGCTGAGGCCTGGGGCTTCTGGTCAAGCACCTCTGCCCATGTCAGTGGCCAGGCTCCCGCTTGGGGTGCTGGCACAACGGGGCAGCCGTGCCATGAATTCCCTCTGGGGCGTTAGGGATGCTCATGTGGGTCCCTACCTGGAGATCTGTGGGAGCAGGAAAGTGGAATAAATGGCTTTGCTGAAAGTTTAACACTTGGGATCATTCTTGGGGGCTGGAGCAGAGCCCGTGGTGACCCAGAGCTGGGGAGCACAGAGGGCACAGGTGAGGGGCTGCAGCTGGGGCTGGCCCAGGGGCTGCACCACTACAGCCCTGGGGGGTTTGGGTTGCTCCAGAAGGGTTTGTGCTCCCCAGGGCTCCAGGCAGGGCTGGGAGCAGCTTGTCCCAGGTGCAGGAGCACCTGCCCAGCACGGGCTGTGCCTGAGGGGCCTCTGTCCTGCTGGAGTGGGCACAGCCAGCGAGGGGCCCAGTGCTGCAGCTGCACAGGGCTACAAGGCAAACCCACCCACGCTGCAGGCTCAGCCCTGCTGGAGCTGCTGCCCCTTCCCTGTCCCCCCTCCTCTCCCTGTAGCTCCCCCAGGATCCCCCAGCCCCACAGCAAAGGGTCTGTGCTCACCCTGCCCTGGGGCAGAGCACGAGCAGCTGGCCAGAGACAGAGGCTCTGNGCTCCCCCAGGATCCCCCAGCCCCACAGCAAAGGGTCTGTGCTCACCCTGCCCTGGGGCAGAGCACGAGCAGCTGGCCAGAGACAGAGGCTCTGCAGGGACAGACAACTCAAAAAAGAGGTTTGGTTTAATTGGAGATGTTTAGAGAGTTCTTCAATAAATAATGGGCTTAAGGGGGGGACAGGGCTGACTCCTCAGGACAGGGTGGAAGGAGGACACACAGACCAGTCACAGCTGCCTTGGGACGTGCTCGAGTAGTGGAGTTGGGTTGTGTGAGGGGCAGGAGAGGAACTGGGGACACAGACACACATCAGCCCCAGGCAGTCAGGAGAGAACAGCTTCATTCTGGCCCACAGAAAGCAAGTGCTGAGAAAAAACGGGCTTGGGCTGCTAAAGAAACTCTAAACCAACAGATGTGATAAGGAAAAGTGGATAAGCAAAAATACCCCAAACTGGTAACAAGTGAGGCTGGAAGGGTGTCAGGGGCCCTGAGGAGGCACTGGGGCTGGGAGGAGCTGCCTGCCCAGTGCCACTGGCACTGCTGAACTAGAGGGGAGCCAGGGATGACATGGGATGGAAGAGGCCTGCTACGAGGGCAGCCCTGGCACCCTGGGGCTTGAGGGTCTCACAGGCTGGGCTTTCCATCACTGCCCTGTTTGACTCCTCATAAACACCCCTTTACCTTGTCTTTGAGCCCCAGAAGGAGCAGCACCTCCCAGAAGAGCCTGGTGCTGCTCCCAAACACCAAATGTGCCAGCTGCTCTCCAGCCTGGCACCACTCACAGCAGCTCATCTGCATCCTTTTATTAGTGAGACACTGAGCTCCCACCCCGGGGCTGGGCACTGATAGGGCTTCCTGTGCCCACCCAGGCTGCAAGGTGCTTGTTGGCTCTTCTAAGGCCCAGCCTGAGCCATGTGTCACCCCCAGGGCTCCTCAGCCCCTGGCACAGCTGGCAGTGCCAGCCCATCCAGGCCCTGCTCTGGCACGGATCCCTCTGCTCCAGTCCCAGTTAAAAATGAGGGTGGAATCAGGAACACGGTGCTGAGCAGAGAAAGAGCCTTGGCCAGGGCAGGGGGATTTGCCATGGGGATACAGCAAAGCCCTGGCCTGGCTGCACGTGAGCCACTCAGTGCAGCCAGAGGCTCCTGGACAGGCCAGGGTCACTGAGAGCCTGCCCAGCACAGCCCAGGGCAGGACACTGAACAGCTGGGGCACCTTCCTCAGCAAGGGAAAGCTGCTGGGAGCTGTGCACACATCCCATCCCATCCCTCCAGATCCTGCAAAGTCCAGCCTGGTGCCAAGGAAGGGAGAAGGGCTCTGGACCAGACTCTACACTCCCAGCTCCCCTCCCCTGCTACATTCCATCCTGGACAAAGGCAGAAAGATCTATACAGTATAATACATATATATTTCACTATGAAATAGCAATTTCATTCCCTGCCTTCTACTTTATGCATCCTGAATTATATGCTTCTTTTTACATCACTCCAGAGGGCTGGTGGGGCTGGGTGGGTTCTCATGCGAGGCAGTTGCTCTCCCTGGCAGTTCCCACAGGATGCACCAGCAGCTGATGTGGCAGGACCTAAACATGATTCCCATCCCTCCCTTGCCCTGCCCCAGCTGCAAGGGCAGCCTCTGGGCAGCTGGGCTCTCCCAGTCCATTTCAGTGGTTCCTCAGTGCAGACCCATGAACCGCCTTCAGCTGCTCTGAGCAGCTGGGGATGGAGTGGGAGCAGCAGCTGAACCCCACCCCGACATCGATCGCGGGTATGGGAGGAGCAGACCGAGGGGAGAGGCGGGGACAGTGCAGCATGCACACCCAGTGGTGACACCCGGGCACACCGAGTGGTGACACCCAGGGCACACCGAGTGTGACACCCAGGGCACACCCAGTGGTGACACCAGGGGCCCGCCGGCCCGGCCTGCCCCGCCCACGTGGGGAGCCGGGGCTGCAGCCCCAAGGGTGAAGTTCTACCAAAGGTCAGGCCCTGAGGAACAGGGAGTCCCGTCCGGGGGCTGGGTCACCGGCCAAGAGCTGTCATCACTGGAACCAGTGCAGAGCCGGGTGTCAGGTGGAAGGAGAAACAATCCTGTGGAAAGAAAAGAGGGCAGATGTTTTAGGGAAACACTTTGGGAAGGTGTGCTGGGGAGCCACTGTCCTGGAAATATCACACTGGCAGCACTGGGGCTTCCAGTCACTGTGCTGGGACTCTGTGGGTCCTGCACGCTGGGAAAGGGACAGCAGGTTCCACCTGCTGCTGGGTTTGGGCTCCACTAAACAAGGTCAGAATTTTATATCCCTTTAAATGAAACCTGCAGGAGTTCAGCTGCTGGCTGAGCTGAAGCACAGCCATACCCAGACCCCTCCCACAGCAGCAATGAGCTCACCCCAGGACCTGTCCCAGCAGGGACAGTGGCAGGGACAGGAGCTGTCCCCAGCACCCACCTGCGCTCCCCGTGCGCCCCCAGTCCGTCACATTGTCCGGCTGTACTCGATGCTGCTCTTGGCAGAAATGCCAGACCAGGGCAGGAGGCTGCACAGGAGGCTCTGGGCCTGTCTGTAGATCCTCTGGGGGATGGAGCACGGGCTCAGGCTGGCCAGTGTGGAGCCAATGTGCTGTAGGTAGTCAGTGGCCACCAGTTAAGGACAGCAACACTTACACTGTAACTCAGAAAGATCAATCTCTCCTGGAGCTGCCCTGCCTGCAGGGACCCCACACAGTGGAAGCTGCTCTGCTCAGTCAGGTCTGCTCCTGCAATCACTGCCTCCACCTTTCTACCAAAAGCAGCTCTGCCCTGTAAAGGATGGCACTTTGGGAATGGCAGCTCCAGCTTGTAGGAAATACCTCCTCTCAGCAGCTCCCTTTGCACTCCACAGAAGATCCTGTGAGGAGAGCAATCCATCCCCCTGCCCAGCGAGGTTGGAACTGACCAGCTGCACCCAGGAAGGATCAAGTTTCTTCTCCATGATCCGTTGACCTGAAACAAATCCCCTAAGTCAGTGTGGGAGCAGCCTGCTGAGATCCTGGCCAGCCCAGGCTCACAGGGGATCCCAGGTCACAGGAAACAGGACCAAAGATTCCTCTGCCTTGTTCATGGCTAAATCCTGCACATCCTACAAACCAAAGCACACCCAGAACTTTGGCCTAACACCAGCACTCGCTCTCACTGGCATCCAGCTTGCTCCAACCATCCTACATCAAATAACTCTAACATCTCCTTCCTTCCACCTGCAGACTAAACCCACGTCTGAGCAAGTTTCAGTTCCCACATCTACCCACACTCTGCTGTTAACCCAAAGCAGGGTCTGGCCTCTCTCAGCAGCCTGCAGGGAAAGGATATAAGATTGTCCAGGGTGGGTGCCCACCATTGATGTACAGGACGTAAGTGAAGCCATCTTTGAGGACCCCTCGGATGGAGTAGTAATAGGGCAGGTAGTGGTGCTGCTTAAAGTCTCTGTTCTCATAGAAGTTTATTGCTGTGTTGTTGGTGGTGAGCACGTGCAGGTAGATGGCTTTGCAGTGGTCCTGGGCAGTGGTGGAGATGTGATCCTTCAGGCTCTCAAGCAAGAGGGAACCTGTTGAAGGGAAGGCAGCAGGATCACAGTGTGTGTGCAGCCCCAGCCCTGCTGCATCAGGGATTGCTAATCAGGGACAGCTCCAACACCTGGAGACCCCAAACCCCACCCAGTTCTCACAGGACCCTCTACATGGTTTTCATACATGGTCTCACCTATGAGCATGGCTTCAAAACACAGAGATTTTAAAGACACAAACCTCTGACTCAAAAGCCACAGGGATGAGGCAGAACTTTGTCAATGCTACTCATCCCCAGCAGAGAACTCCTGGCTTTGGGGAAGGTCAGTGACTCATTTTCAATGGTATCAGTTCCACCCCATACATGTATTTATTTTAAAGCCATTTGATACAGCAGAGTCAAAACAGGACTTCACAAGCAGGTATTGTATTGTGTCTGCTGAGCTTGAATCAAAATCTAAGAAATGCTGGGGTTTTAAGATACCTTCTAAGGGGGAGTGGAGACAGCCTCATCCAACATGGATTTGCTGCAGCCAGCAGGAAAAACCAGAGGAGGGCACAGAGGATACTCCAGCCCCAAGAGCACAACCTGGGGTTCACCCACACCACCTCAACATGGCATGAAGGACCCAGCAGAACCTGCGTGGGAGCTTCTTCCAGCAGGTGTGGTAACACCAGGCTGAACACTCAGCCTGACCAACACACAGGGGAGATGGCTGCTGCTGTTCCACAGTCCCCAGGGCCTGCAGGACTCCCTGGAGCACCCACAGGACTTCAGAGCAGCACTGACTTCACGTTCTCTTGATACTTAGTGAGACTCTGTATCAACCAAGACCAAAAAAAAACACTGAGACATCAACAACAGAGCAGTTCAATTTTGTTATGAGCTATTCCAATCTTCTACCTCACAGAAATTCAGCTGTCCTGTGGTTTTAGAACAGCAGAGAACTAAAAACCAAACTCTTTTACAAAAATCAGAGCAAATCTGAGCTTTAGTGCTCGGAAGCGTGGCTGGAGTGAAAAGCCTCCTGCATGAAAGGCTACAGCTTCAAACACCACTGGGAAAACTCAAGAGAAAGGTCTCAGAAAAAGCAGCAGCAGCTTTTTATAGGCTGTGTTGCTACAGGTGCAAGCTCAAAGTTTTTGAGAGAGCACAGCAACATGCTGTGCAGATGGAATGGATACAGGAAATACTGACTCTGAAAGGAGAAAATTCCAGCAAGATAGAACTGGGGGGAAAAATAGGATTTGGATACTAGGAGGAGACTGAAAACCACCATAATTTTACAGAAAGACCTCTTTATCAGCTTCTGTGATCATTCTGTGCTACCACTTTCTTCTTTGTACTGGAAAATTGTCTCCAGTGGCATTTTAATGCTTTCACCAATGACTCTGTGGTAATTTCTTTATGTATCCTCTAAGTTTACACCTCTCAAACTTGTCTGGGGGAGAAGGGAGGACTTGGAGGTGCTGAGTTATACCATGTGCACTGCCAAACCTGGCCCATTCCCTTCTGCAGGTCACAGATCCACATCCTGCCTGAAATGGCACCACAGGGGCAGCACTTGGTGAAGAACACAACTGCTCTAAACAGAGGAAAACCTTTCAGACTCCAGGATTTCAAATGGCTGCAGGAAAGCTGCATGTGGCAGCAGACATTCAGAGCTGACTTGTACATTTCAGATCCAATCAGGCACAAGTTACACTATTTTCCAGTTCCCTTTGTGGTTTTCTCACAGTTTGTTCTATCTGTTGAAGATGAAAGATTAAAAGCAGCTCTTTTCTGCCTCAGGGATCAGACTGCTGAGACCCAGAATGAAAATAATTTCAAACCCTGCTTCTGGGTGAAGTTCTGACACTTTCAGACACTCTCAGCAGCACCAGTGTGAGTTTTTGGTGTGCTCAGCTGGCCCCTGGCAACAGGACTGACAAAGGCCTGTGCTCTGTGGAAATATTTGCACATTGTGTTGTGTCCACAGCAGTAAAAAGCTCCCAGTGCACCTGCACTGCCCCACCTGCTGGTACCAGCCACAGGTAACCCTTTCCCAATCCCTCAGGGACACTGCAGGGGGGTGCTGGAGCTCCTTCTGGCAAATGCACCCAGAGCTGGCACTGAGCAGCATCTTACCTATTCCATGTTTTCTGAACTCCTTCACCACTCCAAGGCTTAGGATGTAAGCAACTTGAGTGTCCACAGGAAAATTGGAAGCTAGGATATCTCCATCCTGCATAGAGATAGGACAGGTTTTTTAACAGGGTACCTGGGGAGGCACAGGAGAAAGCAAGGAGCCTGCACTGGAACACCTGAAAACAAGGCTGAAGCAGGAAACTTCTCTTAACTGAACAGTGTTAGCTGAAGGTTTTGGGATGGAAGTTAAAATATCCAAGCATGGGGCATTTCCTATTTTCACACCATCCTCCCAGAGGCAGAACACAAACCATGCTTGGGTTTAGGGACAGAACATGTTTGCTGCCTTTACCACAAGGACTCAAAGTGCCAGCTCTGGAGCCACCCAGCAGGGTTTAGATCAACCCAGCAAGTCCTTGTGGGCTGCAAGCTGCACCTGAGCTGTGTCAGCTGGGGAGGACAAGGAGCACATTCCACAGCCCCAGCTGCCCAGAGCAGTGCCTGAATAAACCCTTGGCTTTCAGCTGGTCTGGAACAAGAGCCTTTTGCAGAAGTTGCTGAAGATGCAGCTTCTGACTGTGATGAGCTTTGAGATGAAGCCAGGAAGCTGAGGTGAAGAGACCCATGTGCTGCTCTGTGCATGCTGGGTTATTGTTTAACCACATCACTGAGTTACATCCAGGAGTTAGGCACTCCCTGCACTGCCCCTGCTTTTTTTTAGTGCTCTTCTTCCATGCTGTCTTCACTGACCATCTCTTCTTTCCCTCTCTCCTGCCCTCCCAGCCCTGTTATCCCTGAAGCCCAAGCTCTCTGCAGACAGGTTAGCTCCCCTCAGGGCTAGGGACAGGGACTGTGCAAAGGGAGGAGTTTCTGCAGGAAGTCACCAGAGTGACTCACCCACTACAGCTAAGGAAGCGCTTATGAAAAAAAGAGTTTTGTGCTCCCCCATCTACAGCAGCCATGGCCAGGGATTATCCTGCAGGATCTGATCCCTCAGCTCTCCAGAGGCCCCAGCAGGAAGAGCCTCTGTGGTACCACACAGCCCCTCAGCTCTGGTCCATTAGCTGGAAACCAGCGTGTGCTTCACTGCTGACATGAACTCAGACCAGGTGTCTGAACAGGAAAACCCCACCCCAAGCAGATCCATCCCCTTTCCCCAGGGCAGGGGTGGGCTCTGTGCTGCTGGAGCCCAGGGTGTCACACACCTCTTTGTGCACCTTGGTCCTGCTCTTGATCTCTGCCACGATCATCCCCACGATGGAGCCTCTGTAGGTGGCTGCGAGGGAAAAGAACTTCTTGTTGGAAGTGATGTCTCGGTACCATGAGTCAGGGTACCTGGAAGGAACCACAAACACCAAAGTCTGGGCATGCAAAGCCCATGGGAACAGGCACTGCAACCCCTTTAGGGGGTTCTTTCATGTAATGGCCTCCTGCCTTGCTAAGAGAATCACATTTTCATCTTACAGCCTTTGCCCAGAGCTTTCACATCCATCTTTAGCAAGTTATTTTTAAATGCAAGATCCATCTGCCCTCATCTAAGAGTGTAAGGATCTCATTAATTTGATACACAAGTAAAAAAAATGCTGCATATTGATAGGAAAAAAAAATCATCACACCACCAGCCTCCAGTTCTCCTCCTCCTTCTGCAGCAACTAAAGGAAACTACTGTATGTTCATTTATTTCCAAATGAGAGTTCAGCATGTCTTGCCTTTAAAAGAAATCTACAAACTCATAATATTATGAATGCTTTTGCTGATTTGTTACATTTTATTCAATCTTAATTATAATCTGCTAGAACTCTCTATGAAGCTAAAGTTAAAAATCCATGAAGTCTAGAGCTGTATGGATTAGGCCAGAAATGTGTCGGTGTCCCCCAGAAAAGCTCCTGTGCTTGTGCAGCCGTGGGCATTGACCCAGTGTGGGTGTGGGGAGCTCCCTGGGGCAGGCTGAGATCAGCAGCACGGGAGGAGCAGGGCTCAGCTCCCCAGGACCAGCTCAGCTCTGAGGGTGCTGCCCCAGCCCCAGGATCCAGGACACAAATTCCTTCCACAAGCACAGGGAGCCTTCTTCCTGCAGGTGTTGCCCTTCTCCTCCTCATTCAGCCTTTCTCAAGAGGCTGATCCATCCCTTTAATGACAGAGCCCATTCTCCTGCCCAAATGTGCACACTGGAAGATTCTGATGATGCCAGTACAGGCAGCAAAGGACCTTTGGACCAAAGGACCCATGTTGGGCACCAATACATGTATTTGTTTTGGTTTAGGGTAAATTTTGGAGAGAATTTTTAAAGGGTTTTTTTTTGTAGGAAAGTAGATTTAATTGTTTGGTTTTTTTAATTGGTTTGGAAGAAAATATTATTTTGGAGAAAAGTGGAAAAATCATTTTATTGATTAGAAATTTAATGTAATATTTAATATTTAAATTAAATAGCAATATTTAACTTTAAATATTAATTAAATATTTATATCTATTATATTAAATGTAATGTACATTTAATATAATAATTAATAATTTATAAAGAAATTTATTAAATAATAAAATTAATATTAAATAATTAAATTTTTTGTTGTTTTAAAAGAGATTATAAATTTAGAAAGTTTTTTTGGGGGTTGTATTTTGGTTTATTTATTTTTTATTAGTTTTTTTGATGTTGAAAATGTTGTGGTTTAGGTTTGGTTTGGTGGGTTACAGGTGTGAGTTGCTGGTGGTTTTTTGGGTGTTTAGTTTAGAGTAGGTTTAAAGAGAAGGGGAAAAAAAATAGTTTAAGGAATTTTTTTGTTTTAGTTATTTAACCCCAGTGCACAGAAGATTCGCACCCTGCTGCTGCCCTGAGGCTGCACAGAGCTGGAGCAGTGCAGGGTCACCCCTGTGTCCCCTTTGCCCCCAGAGCAGGCACGTACTCGATTGGGAACCAATCTCCACAGAGCTGCTTCACCGTGTCTATGTCATCGTGGCACAGCAGGCGCAGGGTCACATCCGTCAGGGCGCTCGGCGGCACCTCCTCTGTCATTCACGCCTGCGGGAGGAAACAGGGAGAGCTGGGACACGGGGAGAGCCGGGACACACACGGGGACAGCTGGGACACGGGGACGGCCGGGACACACACGGGGAGGGCCGGGACACACACAGGGACAGCTGGGACACAGCACCTCCAGGGGCAGCATCACCAGGGACTGATCCACAGCACCCTCAGGGATTGATCCCACAGCACCAA